TGCCCGGCTCATTTTTGTATTTTTAGTAGAAATGGAGTTTTACCATGTTGCCCGTGCTGGTCTTGAACTCTTGGGCTCAAGCAATCCGCCTGTCTTGGCCTCTCAAAGTGCTGGGATTAGAGATGTGAGCCACCACGCCTGGCCCTGGGAATGCGTTTTGCAGTAAATTTGTGTCATCAGCATTGGTTGAGCCCTGTCTTCTAAAGCACTCAGCCGGGGGCTGATCTTCCCTAGAAATGAGCCCTGTGTGTACTGCCCAGTCTGAATGTTGAGACCCAAGGAGGGAAATGAATGCTTCCGGATCAGAACAGGAATGCTTTTGTCTTTGGGGAAGGAGATTCCTGCTCAGGTGGTAGCTGAGCAAGCGGAGAACTAGGGACCCAGAGTTGATGGTTCTTGTGCAGGAATAAAAGCTTTTGAACTGTTATTTTTGTAAAGCATTTGTCTCTTCCATAGAAAACCTTCACAAAAGCACCATTGACTTACTTAATAATTGGCTTCTAAAAATAAGCACAATTTCAGCAGCTTAAGGCAAGGACTTGGCAACAGTGAATTAGAATTAGAAAGTTGTATGGTTAGTTGCAGGCAACCCTGGGGAAGCCTGACTGGCTTATGCCCCTTACATTTGGTAATTCCATTGTTCACATTATACTCTGCTTGTAGCTTCGTGGAGTTTGTTAAAGGGAAGAGAGCCAATGTTTCCTTTTTGTTTTAAAATTAACTAATTAATTAATTTTAGAGATAGGGTCTTGCTCTATTGCCCAGGCTGGAGTGTAGTGGCATAATCATAGGTCACTGTAGCTCAAAGTTTTGGCTCAAGCAATCCTCCTGCCTTAGCCTCCCAAGTAGCAGCTAGGACAATTATGTGCATCACCATGCCAAGCTAATTTTTATTTTTTGTAGAGATGGAGTCTCACTACTATGTGGCCCAGGCTGGTCTTGAACTCCTGGCCTCAAGCAGTCCTCCTGCCTCGGCCTCCCAAAGATTTGGGATTACAGGCATGAGCCACTGCACCTGGTCTATTTTTTCCTTTTTGATAAAGATATTTCTCCTACCATCCCCCAGGGGAAGTGCAAACCAAGACAGTTACCTGGGCTGCCCCCTGTCCTAGGCTGCATTTGGGGTCAGTTGAGAGGTAGTGCTGGCTGGGCACAGTGACTCACACCTGTAATCCCAGCACTTTAGGAGGCTGAGGCAGGAGAATTGCTTGAGCCCATGAGTTCGAGACCAGCCTGGGCAACAAAGTGAGACTCCCCATCTACAAAAATAAAAAAATAAAAAATACCTGGGTGGGGTGGCGTGTACCTGTGGTCTCAACTACACGGGAGGCTGAGGCAGGAGGATCACTTCCTCCTCTGAGCACCGTTCTCTTCATTCAACTGTTTGTTCCATGTCTTGTTTCAGAGGAGGATTTAAAGTGCCTTACCTCTTACGAATATATTCTGTCTCCCTAAGCAGAGAGTGTGTTCTATCTTTATCTTATAGGTTTTTTTTTTTTTTAAGTAGTTCTTACATTTTTTAAAAGTAGTTATTACATTTACAGAGGCATTTGATAAATGATAGAGGATGATGATAACTGCTCAATATAGATGGGATACTTTAGAAAATCCCATCATTGTTTGAGTTTTCAGGAACTAGGTCTACCTCTGAGAGTAATTTTTTTTTTGAGACGGAAGACAGAGTCTTGCTCTGTTGCCCAGGCTGGAGTGCAGTGGCACGATCTCTGCTCACTGCAAGCTCCGCCTCCCAGGTTCATGCTGTTCTCCTGCCTCAGCCTGCTGAGTAGCTGGGACTACAGGCGCCCGCCACCACGCCCGGCCAATTTTTTGTATTTTTAGTAGAGACGGGGTTTCACTGTGTTAGTCAGGATGGTCTCAATCTCCTGACCTCATGATCCGCCTGCCTCAGCCTTCCAAAGTGCTGGGATTACAGGCTTGAGCCACGGCGCCCGGCCTCTGAGGGTAATTTTAAGTTGCAAGTGGTGACTGGCTACACCTGAAGCCACAGGGGAACTTAACCTATTTCTGCCTTGATATATCAGGATCCTCTTAGCCAGGCATTTCTTCAAGATCGCAGGTTAAAATGTAGAACCCGGCTGGGCGCGGTGGCTCAAGCCTGTAATCCCAGCACTTTGGGAGGCCGAGGCGGGTGGATCACGAGGTCAGGAGATCGAGACCATCCTGGCTAACATGGTGAAACCCCGTCTCTACTAAAAATACAAAAACTAGCCGGGACGTGGGGGCGGGCGCCTGTAGTTCCCAGCTACTCGGAGGCTGAGGCAGGAGAATGGTGTAAACCCGGGAGGTGGAGCTTGCAGTGAGCCGAGATCGCGCCTCTGCACTCCAGCCTGGGCAACACAGCGAGACTCCGTCTCAAAAAAAATAAAATAAAATATAGAACCCTTAATGGGAGCCCCTGGTGTGTGAGCCCTGCAGAGCCTGGCTTCATACCATACTTGTATCCTCTCTTGTACTCTCTTTCCACTGCCTCTGTGCGGCACCCTATTCGTGTCATCTCTTTTCCTTACCAGTCTCTCTGCCTCCAGAGTCTTGTCTGTCTCCCTGAGCTGCTGTGATTCTTATCTTTAAACACTCAGGTTGGATTCCTTTACTTCTGCCTCCATAAAGTCAAGTCCCAGTTCCTAGGTGGGGTTCTGGTCACAGCTGGCCATTTCCAGCTTGATCTGTCACTACATCTCTTCTTGCACCAACAGTGAAATGACCACATCATCCCAGGAGTACTCAGCAACTCTGCTTTGATCTAATGTGTCTCTGCTTTGATCTTATTGCAGTACTCTGTTCTTCTCTCCCTTTTCTCTTCCCCTTTTCCAGGTATAGAAATCATGCTCATCCTTTGAGTAATATTCAGCTCAAATGCCATCTTTTAAGAGAAGTCAGAATTACTTCTCCCTTCTTCTGCATGTCTGTATCACTTTCCTATGCCATTATGGTTTCATTGTTAATATTGCGAAAAACTCCCAGACTGTGTTTTTTCCTTTACTGTCACACAACAATCAACACAGAATACTTCTGTGACCGAAAGTATGGAGGGATTTTCTCTACACTCTAAGCAGCAGACGCCAGCTGGGTGTCTGTTTAATTCTGACACTGTCTACCAGAAGATCATGTCAGATCCCATGGATTCAGGGCTCAGTCCCCAAGACTCCGCCACCACCAATTTCAAGTCTGGGCCTCCAAAACGTCCAACTGATTTAAGTTGGGACTCCCATGATCCTGTCTATCTTTGGGTTCGATTAATTTGCTGGATGGGCACACAGAACTCAGGGAAACACTTAATTTTACTGGTTCATTATAAAGGACATTGTAAAGGATGCAGGTGAAGAGACACACGGGACAAGGTATGGGAGTGGGGTGCGAAGCCTCCATGCCTTCCCTGGGCTCACCACCCGCCAGGAACCTCCATTTGTTCACTTTTCCTGAACCCAGCCTTCTGGGTTTTTTTTTTGTTTGTTTGTTTTTTTTCTTCTTTTTTTGAGACGGAGTCTCGCTCTGTCACCCAGGCTGGAGTGCAGTGGCCTAGGCTGGAGTGCAATGTTGCGATCTCTGCTCACTGCAAACTCTGCCTCCTGGGTTCACGCCATTCTCTTGCCTCAGCCTCCTGAGCAGCTGGGACTACAGGTGCCCGCCACCATGCTCGGCTAATTTTTTGTATTTTTATTAGAGACGGGGTTTTACCATTTTAGCTAGGATGGTCTCCATCTCCTGACTTTGTGATCCAACTGCCTCGGCCTCCCAAAGTGCTGGAATCACAGGCGTGAGCCACCGTGCCCTGCCGCGTTCTGGGTTTTTATGGCAGCTTCATGAGGTCAGCATTCCTTCCCCCAGCATATAGGGCAGGACCCTCTCGGGGAAGGCGTTGAGATCCACAGTTAAAAAGGTGGGAGGTAGATTAGAGTCCTGCTTTGGGGCAGGTGAAAAGAGGGCAGGAAAGATTCTGAGGCCTATTCCTGAGGCCTCACACACCCAGAGTTACAACAAAAGACTAAGGCATACCTGTAATCCCAGCACTTTGGGAGGCTGAGGTGGGAGGATCGCTTGAGCCCAGGATTTCAAAACCAGCCTGGGCAACATAGGGAGACCTCATCTCTATTAAAAAAAAAAAAAGAAAGAAAAGAAAAAGATTTGAAAAATGAAAAATAAGACTGTAGCAAGGGCACATGGGAGTTATGAACCAGGAACCATAGATGAAAACTTTTATTTTTATATATATATATAAAATAATACCACAGTTATATTTTATTGAAAGTTGCATATTTCCCCTGTTAGTAAATGTATTGAGGGCAGAAACCAGCTGTTTTTCATATATCTGACCCCCATAGAAGCTAACACAGTCTGTGGTACTTTGTAGGATTTGTGGAGTGAATTATTGCTTTCTATGACATTTTTCTTTGGATTGATAATTATGATTTATTAGCACAATACCAAATGTACCTTGTGACATACATGATAGTGATAAAATGGCCAGCATTTGTTGAGCACTTATTATGTGCCATATGTTGTTCTAAGTGCTTTATATCTATTAGCTGGTTTAATCCTTATATAGCCCTGTGATTATTATAATAGCCTAGTGATTATTATCTTCATTTTGCAGGTTGAGTTACTTAGTCAAGTTCCCCAGATAGTAAGCAATAGAGTTGGAATTCACATTTATAGTTTGCTTCTAGAGCCTGCACCCCAAACCACTATATTATATTGTTATTTCAGTGCAAATCAGGCCTTTTTGTGACTACTTAATTAGTAATTGAATGATATTCATGGGATTAGAGTTGTTATATGACACCTCCCACAGTGGTTTGCATTCATACCATATTTGATGTCAGCAATAAACCAATGGGTGCTTACTCTTAACCTTTTAGGAGGATTTGCCTGAGATTCACTTTCCTCATGAGGTTTAAAGATTCATTTTCTTCCCGAAACTTATCCCTTGAAAGAATAGTTGGAAACATTGTCACTAACTGGTCTGGTATTCTCATTCTTAGGATGGAGGTTCTCTGGATCAAGTCCTGAAGAAAGCTGGAAGAATTCCTGAACAAATTTTAGGAAAAGTTAGCATTGCTGTGAGTATGTTATGAAGGTTTTCTTCTAAGTTCCTCATTGATAAGTTAATGAGTTGGTAGGAAATGAACAAGAAAGGAAGATGGGAAGTCAATGAGGGGAAAGTTTATTTAAAAAAGTGGCATTTTCTCAGTAGACTCTTCCCTGTTTGGAGTCTATAGACACTGTTGTCTCTCTCGCATTAGAATGAGAAATGTGACTTCCTTTATATTAAAATCTGTGTGTCTTGAAAACCAGGGGCCAGGCACAGTGGCTTGCACCTGTAATCCCAGCACTTTGTGAGGCCGAGGTGGGAGGCCCAGGAGTTCAGCTCCAGCCTGGGCAACATGATGAGACCTCACTTTTACAAAAAAATTAATAGCTGGGACGTGTAGTCCCAGCTACTTGGAAAGCTGAGGTGGGAGGATCACTTGAGACTCAGCTGCAGTGAGCCATAATCCATAATTGTGCCATTGCACTTCAGTCTGGGTGACAGAGCGAGACCCTGTCTGAAAACAAAACAACTCTATATACCATGTAAAAAGATGGTTGCTTGATAAGGCAGGTTAAGAAAATGAAACAAAAGAATAAAAAATAAGGGGCTGGGTGCGGTGGCTCGTGCCTGTAATCCCAGCACTTTGGGAAGTGGAGGCGGGCAGATCATCTGAGGTCGGGAGTTCGAGAACAGCCTGACCAAAATGGAGAAACCCCATCTCTACTAAAAATACAAAATTAGCTAGGCATGGTGGTGCATGCCTGTAATTCGAGCTACTCAGGAGGCTGAGGCAAGAGAATTGCTTGAACCCAGGATGGGGTGGTTGTGGTAAGCCAAGATTGCACCATTGCACTCCAGCCTGGGCAACAAGAGTGAAACTCTGTCTCAAAAAAAAAAAAAAAGGGCAAATTTGTGATGATGATAAATGAAGTATTTTCCTAGAGTATTTTAAAATAGATTATTTTTCTAATCACCAGTATTTTGTCTTCTTTTACATTCCCGTTCCTCTAGGTAATAAAAGGCCTGACATATCTGAGGGAGAAGCACAAGATCATGCACAGAGGTAAGAAGTTATTTGCTAGTTGTTGTGTTTTGAATTTTAGATATAATCCAAAGGTTGTTGCTTCCTCTTTTTTGTACGTTTTGTTTTCGTGTAAAAGCCTTTTAATAACATGTTAAATCTTTTATTAAAAGTCATTGTTTAGTTTGGTGACTGGGGCAGCAATTCCTATCCTCTTTTTGGTCTTGCTACACCTATTGCCTGTAACTGTGATGGACATAGTCATAGTCACCCTGGAAGTCCAGCTAAGAGCCTCAGCCAGAACTTAGTTATCCAGTCTCTGGTGTCACTTTTCACTGGACTAGATTGTGCATATGCCCAAAGTCAGGACTGGCCAGCTGAATATGAGTTTTGCTATAAAAGAAACTGATTTATTGCTCGGTGCAGTGGCTCACGCCTATAATCCCAGCACTTTGGGAGACCCAGGCAGGCGGGTGGATCATGAGGTCAGGAGTTCGAAACCAACCTGACCAACATGGTGAAACCTTGTCTCTACTAAAAATACAAAAATTAGCCGCCAGCCATGGCGGCGAGCTCCTGTAATCTCAGCTACTTGGGAGGCTGACGCAGGAGAATTGCTTGAACCCAGGAGGTGGAGGTTGTGGTGAGCTGAGATTGCACTGCTGCACTCCAGCCTGGGCGACAGAGCAAGATGCCATCTCAAAACAACAACCGGAACAACAACAACAAAACACATTAAAAAAGAAAGAAACTGATTTATTTTAATAAAGGTACACATAGACTTAACCATGTGAGCATACCATCTTAGGCATTTGTCCAAGATAAAAGATAACATATATCCACACAAATATTTAAAGAAGCTGTATTTCTTGTAGAAACAACTGAAATATCCTTCAACAGGCAAAGAGAGAAACAAATTGTTGTATATCTATACAATAGAATACTCTTCAACAATAAAAATGAACAGACTACTGATACATGTAATGTTGAATTTCAGGAACATTTATGCTGAGTGAAAGAAGCCAGACACAAAATAGCCCAAACTATTTCCATTTATATGAAATTACAGAGAGAATAACAACAAATCCATAGTGGCAGAAAGTAGATCAGTGGTTGCCTGAGGGGTCTAGGGAGAGATTAAAGGGGCATGAAGGAACTTTTTGGGGTGACACAAATGTTACATCTTTTTTTTTTTTCAAGAGCCCACCAAATTCCATTATATTATTGACTTCCTCATTAAGGTTTTAAATCCTTGAGGGGGGCCCGGCGCGGTGGGCTCACAACCTGTAACCCAGCACTTTTGGGCGAGGTTGAGGCGGGCGGATCAACTGGAACGGTCCAGGAGTTTGAAGACCAGGCCTGGCCAACCATGGCGAACCCATCTCCTACTGAAGAGTACAGGGAAATTAGGCTGGGCCGTGGTGCAGTGCTGTTGTAAATCCCAGCTAACTCGGAGGGCCTGGAGGGAGGAGAGGCTTGAACCAGGAGGGCAGGAGGTTGCCAGTGAGCCTAGAGATGCGCCATGCTCCCATCAACTGGTGACAAGAGTATAGACTCTGTCTAAAAAAAAAAAAATCTTTGAGGTGGTACAACATCACTTGGATTCCTTACCAGGAAGAGAACTTCAGAATTTGGCACAAACTATGCTACTGGTTCTGTGGGCCCAAGTTACCTTTCTCCAGATTACTCTGGTGGTGTTTGGTTTGCCGCCAGAAGTTACTGTATTGTTCTTTGCTTTGTATTCGTAAGTGCATCTCTTGCCCAAATAGAATTGTGTTTCATCTCGGGCATAAACACTTTCAACTTTAGGAAGAACTGTCTACTCCCTTTGGTTCCAGATACCCTGCTTATAGCCAGCAAAAATGGCCTTGCACCACAGCCTTCCACATATTTCCTTTTAGAAGTCCTGTTCCCAGCAGACCTCCATAGGATCCAAGATGGTGGGAAGGGCAAATGTTACATCTTGACAATGGTGATGGATACATGGGTATATACATTCGTTGAAAGTCCACTGTCCACTAATGTGACTGCATTTTATAGTATATAAATTATACCTTGGTATAGTTGCTTTTTAAAAAGATGAAGCCAGAGAACAGGAAATTGGTAAACATAGTGCTGTCGGCCATGTCCCTTCTGCCGCAGCACTGTCAACAGTGACTGGTGTAGGGAGGAGAGCTGAAGAGGGGATGAGTGGACTAGGGTGGGCTGGTGGAACTGAATGGACAGCTTACAAACCCCATAGAGTAGGTGATACATCACAGGTGAGCAAGCTGAGCACTAAGTGATGCCACCTTTGACATGGCTGACTCCTGGATGCATTTTTTTTTTTAACGTCCCCCTTCTCTCCCCTAGTGTTCTTTTTGTTAGTCTTACTTCTTCCAGATACTGAGCTTTCAGGTCAAGGTCACTTAATTATGACAGTGTTTGCAAGTGTTGGAGGGTGTTCTGATTCAGTAGGTCTGGGGTAGGGCACAGGGACCTGAAAATTTAAAAATAGGCAATTAGCTGGGCATAGTGGCTCATGCATGTAGTCCCAGCACTTTGGGAGGCCGAGGCGGGTGGATCACTTGAGGTCAGGAGTTTGAAACAAGCCTGGCCAACATGGTGAAACCCTGTCTCTACTAAAAATACAAAAATTAGCTGGGCGTGGTGGCACATGCCTGTAATCCCAGCTACTCAGGTAGCTTAGGCAAGAGAATTGTTTGAACCTGAGGGGCAGAGGTTGCAGTAAGCTGAGATCATGCCATTGCACTCTAGCCTGGTCAACAGAGACTCTGTCTCCAAAAAAAAAAAAAAAAAGTTTAATTGTAAAAAAATATATACATAAAGTTTACCATTTTCTCAAGTTTTCAGTGTATAGTTCAGAGGCTTTAAGTATATTCACATTGTTGTGCAGCCATCGCCACCATCCATCTCCAGAACTTTTTTCATCTTGCGGACCTCAAGCTCTGTATCTATTTAACAGCTCTCATCAGGTGTGGTGACTGACGCCTGTAATCCCAGCACTTTGGGAGGCCGAGGTGGGCAGATCATCCAAGGTCAGGAGTTCGAGACCAGACTGGCCAACATGACGAAAACCCCGTCTTTACTAAAACTACAAAAATTAGCTAGGCGTGGTGGCACACACCTGTAATCCCAGGTACTTGAGAGGACAGGCATGAGAATCCCTTGAACCTGGGAGGCAGAGGTTGCAGTGGGCTGAGATTGTGCCACTGCACTCCAGCCTGGGTAGCAGAGCAAGACTCCATCTCAAAAAAAACAAAACAAAAAAACCCCCACTATTTCCCCCTTTCCCCATCCGTTGGAAACCACCAATCTACCTTCTATCTCTATGAGTTTGACTACTCTAGGTACCTCATATGAGTGGAATTATGCAGTATTTGTCCTTTAGGTACTGTCTTGTTTTAGTTAGAATAATGTCTTCATGGTTCATCCATGTTATATGATGTGCTAGACACTGGTTCTTAAGTTAAGTGCTAGTTCTTATGCTGTGGTCCATAGCCACACTTTGGGAAACAGTGCATTGGGAGTAGAATGAGTAGCTAGGTGGGCTGTCTAGAAAGAGGAGTAAAGGCAGCTTGTCCCTAGTGGGATTTGTGGGGAGGAAAGAAATAGAAAATGAAGCACAAAGAAGAAAGTTGTACAAGTGTTCCCTCTCATTCCAGGGAAAATTTCTCAAAATATTGAAAAATTTCTGTCCGTGATAGACTTGTAGTTGGAATTTGCATGACCAGCTTACAGCTTGTACATATGGTTCAGTTTTGTGCATCTATTAATTTCAACCTGGGGCCGTCAAACTGCATTGTTAAGAACTACAGACTATTGGCTGGGCGCGGTGGCTCACATCTGTAATCCCAGTATTTTGGGAAGCCGAGGCGGGTGGATTACCTGAGTTTGGGAGTTGTAGACCAATGTGACCAACATGGAGAAACCCCATCTCTACTAAAAATACAAAAAATTAGCCGGGCGTGTTGGTGCATGCCTGTAATCCCAGCTATGTGGGAAGCTGAGACAGGAAAATCGATTGAATCTGGGAGGCAGAGGTTGCGGTGAACCGAGATTGCGCCATTGCACTCCAGCCTGGGCAACAAGAGCGAAACTCTGTCTAAAAAAAAAAACAAAACTAGCCACTATTCTGACAAGAGCCGAGGAAACTCAGAGCTAACATTTAAAAAGAAAACTAGACTTCCTCTTCTGAAATTATTAGGAGTTACTGGTGAAGGACTTGCCCTCTCACCATAAACAGCTATAAAACTGAAAAACATACATGTGAAACAGTTGTAATCAGACTCTGAGCAACAGATAAGGTAGGACTGTGATCAGTGAGAGATAAGAAACAGAAGCAGTAATCCCTATGATAGCTTCAGCTTTTTGCCTGGAAGTACTTCTTAAATCCCACCCCCATCCCCCTTTTTTGAGACAGGAACTTGCTCTGTTACTTTGGCTGGAGTACAGTGGCTCATTGCAGCTCTCAGCTCATTGCAGCCTTGAACTCCCAGGCTCAAGCAATCCTGCCACCTCAGCCTCCCAAGTAGCTGGGACTACAGATGTGCATCACCACGTCTGGATAATTTTTAGATTTTTTGTGGAGTAGGGATCTGGCTCTGTTGCCCAGGCTGGTCTCAAATTCCTGGACTCAGGTAGTCCTCCTGCCTCAGCCTCCCAAAGTGCTGGGATTACGGGTATAAGCCACTGCATCTGGCGTATAAATCCCCTCGAGTCTGTTGGTGAGTACTGATCTGCACATGTGCAGGGTGAAAGTCCATCAGACTGGACAGAAAATTACCAAGGAGCTATATGTTGAACAATTCCCGGAGTTTACACGGGGCTGTGAGAAGTTCAAGTTCCAACCATTCAGAATGGAAAGCCATAATTGAACATAAATGAAACGCAATAGAGACCCCAGAAAAGTCACCTTAGTTACCAGGTTAAACTGGCTCCAGGGAAAAGTTTTTAAAAGCTGTCCAATAAAACAAGTCTCTGAAAGGTCAGTCTGATCTACAAGTTACTTAACAACATGGCAAAACAAAGTTTAACACTCG